CCTTGCCTGGTAGAGAGATGCAAATCAAAATTACAATGAGATGCCATCTCATCTCTGCAAAAATGACTCTGATCAGTAAAACAGAAAACAACAAAGGCTGGCAAAGTTGTGGAAAGTTTGAAACTCTTATATACAGCTGATGGGACTATAAAACATTATAGCCACTATAAAAAACAGTATGGCATTTTTTCCAAAAGCTAGAAATAGAAGTATCATATAATTCAGCACTCCCACTCCTAGATAGCTGCTCCTTGGAAACCCTGTAAGGGTCGCTACGGGTCAGAATTGACTTGACAGCACTTAACAACAACCCCTAGATATATATCCTAGAGAAATAAGAGCAGTGACATAAATAGACATATGCACACCCATGTTCATTGTAGACTTATTCATTATAGCAAAAAGGTGAAATTAACCTTAGTTCCATTAACGAATGAATAAACAAAATGTGATACATGCATACAATGGAATACTATGCTATGATAAAGAATAATGATGAGTGCAAACCATCTTCTGGAGAACATTACGCTGAATGAAGTCAGTCATTAAAGGACAATTATTATATACCATTTTAATAAAATGTTACGAATAGGTGTATATACTGAAAGCAACAGTTTTCATTGGCTACCAGGGATGGAAAAGGGAGAAAAGAAGAATCACCAGATAATAGTTAATTCTGGTGAAGGGAAAGGCAATATATAATATTAAGGAAGTCAGCACAATGTGATTAAGGTAAATGAAGACACTTAGAGATATATAAGAATAAAGGACTGCTGTAGTCACTAATGCAGGAATCCTGCTGTGGTGCTGTAGTTTAATATGCTGGACTGCAAGGTTAGTTTGAGCCACAAGATCGGCGATTCAAGCTTACCAGCCATGCCTCGGAAAAACTATACAGGGTCACTATGAGTCAGAACCAACTGGATGGCACTTAACAACACCATGGTAAATGCTGTTTACAGTTATAACATACAACTGTAAATGTATACAGTTCTGTAACAACATTAATAACAACCAAAAATTTGTGCATATTAATGGTGGTATACTATATAGGTATAGTTATTAGCATAGTGGTTATGAATCGGGCTGCTGACCACAAGGTCAGCAGTTCGAAACTACCAGCTGTTCCATAGGAGAAAGATGAGGCTTTCTGCTCCTATAAAGATTTGCAGCCTCAGATACCCTGTGCAGGGTCCCTATGAGTCGGAACCAACTCCATGGTCCTTAACAAAAAACCCCAACAAATAATTTGTTATATAGATGTGGGATGGTGCATGAGCGTACTTGTATGTGCATATATAGATATAGTTAAGGGCATTTGTCTGAGTACATATATATTTTTATATGCCACATATGCAGTCCTGGTGTGGTACTCTAGGATAAGTACTCAGCCTCAAGGTTGGTTTGAAACTCAAGGTTGGTGGTTCAAGTTTATCAGCTTCTACTTGGAAACCTTATACAGTGTCACTATGAGTTAGAACCTACTCAATGGCAGTTAACAACAGCAATGTATATATTTATTTATACCCACTTCTCATTCATTGACATGGTGAAGTTATGTGAAAATTGTCATTAGGCAAAAATGGAGGTTGTCCACATCAGATTACAAAATGGAGGCTGACTACATCATTTTATAATGGCCAAATTACATCATTGCAGGACTACCAAACTACTGAGTATCACAACCCAGTCAAGTTGACATGTAACCTTAACTCTCAGACTTTGACGTTTGTTACTGTCAGATATAAATTGTTACTGTGCACAACAAATAGTAATATAGTAGATATTTTACTGTTGTCCTAAATATGAATTGTCAGATAATCAGATAGTTGGCAACTAAGTAGTAGTTGTGTATAATAGAGCACATAGGGGTCACAGTTATGGAAGCAACAAACATCTCATGGATTTGAGTTACTGGGTTTGAAGACTCAGGATATATCTCAGGGTACATCTCACTCAACTGGCATAATATAGTCTGTAAGGTCAATGTTCTACATCCTACTTTTTTTTGTGAATAGGTTCTGGGGTCTTAAAAACTTCCAAGTGGTCATATCAGATATAATCTATTGGTCTCTTTTTGACTGGAGTAAAGGAGAGGGAAGAAAACCAAAGACTCAAGTAAACAATTAGACCATAGGACTAATGGCCCATACAAACCACCGATGCTTTATGAAGTTATGACTTGTAAGATCATGAAGTTATCAAGTAGAGTAAACTTGTGTGAAGAACAGAGAACATTGTATAACTTTGTGATATCATAGATTAAAATTAACCAAACTGTTGAAACCTGGATGACTAACTTACCTCCTGCTTAAATTTGCATTTTATCTAAAATTGAGTGCAGTGCATTGTGCTCTCTTGCAGATATAAGTTAGGATCTGCCAAAGCTAGAGGAAATACTCTGCCTTCATAAGAAAAAAACACCTGGTACCAAAAAAAGAGGTCAAAAATGAGCTCTTTTTTGTATTAACTGAGTGAGCACTATGGTCATATACTTAAAATATGAGTGTAGGATTAGTCTTCTTTAGAGTTCTTGTTATCAAAGACTACAGACAACCCCCCAAACAAACAAACAAACAAACAAACAAACAAACAAAAATCAAAACAGAGGGAATGGAAGCAAATATTGTTGAATGATAATGCACAGAGGAGATGGTAAACATTGCAATGAAATGATAGTGTAAAGCTGATGCTCTCCCATGTCACCTATCAGTCAGTTCACAACAAAAACTTAGAAAGAAAAGTATAGGATCATCGAAAAAGAGGGAGACCTTCAGTGAAATGGATTGATGTTCTGGTTACAACAGTGGACTCAAACATAGCAACGTTTGTAAGAATGGTGCAGGACTGGGCAACGTTGTCTTCTCTTCTGTTGTGTATGGAGTATCTCTGAGTAAGAACTGACTTGATGGCACCTTACGACAACAACATTACAAAGTAAAAAAAAAAAAAAAGACTACAAACCAATTTTTGGAATATACCTGCTCTTAAGGACCTCTGGTAGCATAGTAGTTACGAGTTGGGCTGCTAATTTCAATAGTAGCAGTTTGAAACTATCAGCTGTTCCACAGAAGAAAGATGAGGCTTTCTGCTCCTATAAAGATTTACCTCGGAAACCCGATGCAGGGTCACTATGAGTCGGAATTGACTCCACGGCACACCACCCACCACCACCATACCTACGTTTAAAAGTCAAGATAACGCTACTTTGAGAGGATTAGTTAATAGTGTTGATGTTTGTAGTTAGAAGGCATATTAAATTGTACATATTGTGTGTATGGTGCCACAGGATAGACACTAGACCTCAAGGTTGGTTTGAGCTTCAAGGTTGGTGGTTCAAACTCACCAGGTGCTCCTCAGAAACGCTATACAGGGTTGATATGAATTGGAACTGACTGGACAGCACTTAATAACAACAACATTGTGTGTTAAATGAATTATTTGTTACAGTGTAAGACTTGATTGCGATGGCCTACATTATGATTAAAGGCTTGTGTGTGTTCTGTAAACAATCTTTTATTTGCTTTATTAAATAGTATGAATACGTAGGCTTTTTTTTTTTTTTTTTTTTTGTTTATTGTGAATTCTGTGATACTTTACATGGGAGAACACTAGCTTTACATTCATATTCTCCCTTTTTATTGTACACCCTGGGTGATTCCCACAAATATTATTACATACCATTCCTACTGATTTTTTTTTTTTTTTTTTTTTTGATAGCTTCTTCTTTCTCTCTTTTTTAAGCTGTACATCATTGACTCCTGGACCCAACTGTGACAGATTTAAACTGCATATACCATATGCTGGAGAGACATTGAAATGTAAGTAAATGACCATTCTAATTTCCAGCTGTTAGGTGTTATCATCTTAGATATTATCACTAGGAGCCCTGGTGGCACTGTAGGATAAGCACTGGACTGCTAACCACAAGCTTGAAAGTTCAAACCCTTTAACTGCTTGGTGTGAAAAAGATGAGGCTTTCTATTTCCATATTTAAGGTTGTTATGAATAGGAGCTGACTTGATGAAAGTTGGTTTCTGTTTGGTGGGTTAGAATTCACTACTTTATTTATCATTCGATGTTAGTTCTATTCAAAGTAAACAGTTGGCTAGAATAAGTTGCAATCAAATAGTCATGCATGGAAATCCTAATTTTTAGGTATGTATAGTAGTTCTGCCACCACTCATCTGTCATATTTTAGGCTTGTGTGTTAATGTGATGCTGGAAGCCATGCCATTGGTATTTAAAATACAAGCAGGTATACCCAAGGTTGTCAGATTTCACTTGAACCTCCAGACTAAGACAGACTAAAAAAAAGGAGAGGCAGCCTATCCATATTTGTGACCATTACAAAGACAGGTGACCTAACAGAATGGGGAAATCTTTGGACATTATCATTGTTACACATGCAAATCAAGTTTTCCTATAGATAATTAAAAAATGGCTGCAACAGTGCATTGAAAGGGAACTGCCAAAATTCAAGTTGGATTCAGAGAAGGATATGGAATGAGCGACATCATTGCTGACATCAATCAGATTGATCTTGGCTGAAAGTAGAGAATACAAGAAAGATGTTTACCTGTGCTTTATTGACTATACATAGGCTTTCAGCTGTTCCTTCTTCAGGGACTGATGATCCCTCCTGATAACATGTCCAAAGTATGTGAGACAAAGTCTCTCCATTCTCACTTCTGGAGCATGCTTTTAGGAGCATTCTGACTGAAGGAGGGTGATTCAGCAGAATGTTTGGAATTAAAAGATAATGGAAGCTAGTGAGTGGAAGAGGGGGAAAGGCAGCAATGAAGATATGGACTGAGTTGGACCATGTTCCATAGACTCTTGTCAACCTGGAAATGAGCAAGATAAGAGGAAAGGCTGGTTGGTTTGAAGTGTGGTGAGACTTGGGGACCCCTAAGCCCATGGACAAAGACAGTTACAGAGGGCTAGAGCTGAGAGTGAAGCATCCAGCTGATATGAAGTGAGGGGAAACGCACAAGAATGCCCAAACTTGTAGATAGTACTCATTCAGCCTAACCTCAATAGCTTGATGGTCAGAACTTGACTAGAGGAAGATAAAAAGCAATTTTTGATGGACACAGGTGTAAATGGCTACAATTTGATGAACTTGACCTATACTTACAGATATAGCAGCTCAAAATACCAACTGAGAGGGAAGGAGTCTTCATATCAAGTATCAATTCTATCCTATCTGTATACAGGGTTGATAGGGATGGGCAACTTAGACATTGGCTACCTAAAATACAGGGACTATACAGGCATGAAGTGACTGGCTTATAAGTTTTCAAGAGGGAGTTTAATTTAAGAGTGTGCTGGGAAAGGTAGAATCCCCACTGAATAGTTTTCATCTTGTCTAGACAGGTCTGATGAAAGGAGATGGGGATAAGATTCTTATGATTTAATAGTGAGTAATTGTTATCATGAGTACTTATGATGGTCACAACTAGTCACAGTAAAGGTAGAAGTTTTGTAATAAAAATGGGGGCGTAGTGAATCTTACAGTTCAAGAACAGAGGTCCCTAGGACCATCAATGGAGAAGAGCACAAGTGGAATGTGGGACCTTATCCAGAGAAGCAGCAACACCAGAGATGGAGAGATAGAGCAGCAGAGGACTCTAGACTCATGGAAAGAGAAAGGTGGTGGCAGCCAGGAGGCAGGCTTGCAAAATGTGCCCTTTGGTTGTTTAAATTATTATATGTTCCTGAGTGTTTTTGTGTACATCCCACCCCCAAAAAAACCCCAAAGCATAGGGAATAGAAGCAAATAATGTTGAATGATGATGCACGAAGGGGATTGTAATCATTGCAATGAAATGAAATACAATAGGATAAGTGTAAAACCAATGTTCTCCCATATAAACTATCATTCAATTCACAATAAAAACTTAAATAAAAAGAAAAAAGATAATGGAAGTTTTCCATGAATCTGTACTTCTTCCAAGACAAATTTGTTCATTCTTCTGGCAGTCCAGGATATATTCAGTATTCTTAGCCAACACTGTAATTTGCATGTACCAATTCTTCTGTGGGCATCCTTTTTAATTGTCCAAGTTTTGCATGTATGAGGGAGAGTCAGAAATTATCCACACTCCTGTTAGATTAAGGAGCTCTGGTAGTGTAGAGGTTATGAAGTCAGTCTGCTAACCGCAAGGTTAGCAGTTTGAAGCTACCAGCTGTTACTTGGGAGAAAGATAAGGCTTTCTGCTTCTGTAAAGATTTGCAGCCTCAGAAACACTATACAGGGTCACTATGAGTCCGAACCTACTCCAAAGCACATAACCACAACCTGTTACATTAAAACGTCCGTGCATGTCCATGGGTGATGACAAAAATGAACTTGCCTGTGAAATGATTCTGTTGAATAGATGAGTGACAGTGGATTATGTGGCAAATCATTTACAGATCTGTCATGACACTGCCTGTGAAATAATCCATGGCAGACTTGGGTTTCAAAAAGTTTGTGTGAGATGGGTACCAAAACAACTAAGGAAAGAGCATAAACAGAAGCATTTGGACATCAACAAACAAAATTGGGACCAATACTCAAAGGAAGGTAAAAGTTTCTTAAAGAAAATCATTACTGGTAACTTGACATAGATTCATGTCACATACCAAGATAAAGTTCAAAAGTCAACCGTCAACAGGAAAATGGATGCTTACAGTTTTCTTGGATTCTCATGGGCCAGTATTGGAGGACTGTCAGAAAAAGGTTAAAAAATCAACAATCCTGGTTACAGAGAGATGCTCACTGAACACCTAAACTTCAATTAAACAAAGAGGACTGCTATCCAAAGGCATTGTGATCTTGTATGACAATGCACTTCCGCCCACACTGTTGGCACTTAGCAAAAACCTCCTTTTGAGGTGTTAAAGCATCCTCCCTGTAGTACTGATCTTGCTGCATGGACTTTCACTTGTTTGGTCCCCTGAAAGCAGTTCTTCAAGGACGAAGATTCACCTCTGATAAAGAAGTGAAGACAGTGGTGCATTCATGGCTCACAGCTCAGCCTAAATAATTTTTAAATTGAAAGATATGAAAGCTTGTTGACAGATGGACAAATTGTATTACGTTGAATAATGATTATTTGTTTTTTCTAAAAGTTGATTAAAATAAATTGTACAGACAGAGTGAGGATAATTTTTGAATCACACTTATATATAAGGTAATTGATAAGACAGTGGTTTGAGTGACATGCACCATTGTCCTCAAAGTGACATTTTTGCTTTTAGACACTTTTTTTTAAAGCTTTTATTATGAATTAAGTGATAGTTTGCATGGCAAAACATGAGTTTTGCACTCAACCAATTGTATCTTGTTTCATTGTAATGATTACAATCCCCTTTTTTGATCTACACAGAAACACACAGGACTATATAATCATTTAACCAAAGCATACATTTTGCAAAACAGCCCCTTGCCTGTCAGCACACAGCCTTTCTCTTTCCATGAGTCTAGAGTCCTCAGCTGGAGCTCTGGTAGCGTAGTGGTTACGAATCGG